ATTATTATATTGTATTAATTGTCCTGGTATAAAAATTAATGTTTCGAAAGAAAATATAATATATTATGTTAAAGATATTGTATTTGATACATTAAATCCAATAGTTCAACAATTGATTATTTTCTGTAAGTACACAGTATCATTTACAATATAGGATAGATGATATTCTATTATGCCATTGTTATTTAAAAGATATATAAAAGTATATATCTAAGGAAATTGGTTCGGTTGGATTGGGTTTGAAAACAATTATAAATATGAAATTAGAGTAAATAAAATTTTAAAAAAGGACTAATAAAAAGTTAATAAAATTGAACATAATTTTATAAATTAACATAAATTCAACTGAAAAATCGAAAAAGAATTGATAATTTTTAAAGGGAAGATATCCTCTTATTACTCTTCCAATGAGCACCCAATTACGCCTCCTTGTATGCTCCTGGATCTTATTTTTCGCAAAACATAGTATTTTATTGTCTTGAACATTTATCTCTATAAATATTGCAAATAANGTCTTGAACATTTATCTCTATAAATATTGCAAATACAATAATATTGCACCAAAGAAAATATTTTTAAAATCTTATGCATAAAAGTTAATTACGTAAATTTTTGTAGTACTACAATTTCAGTGTAAAAATTGAAAATAATTTATATATTTCAATGTATTTTGTTAAAAACTTTTATCATCCTAATTGAATCAAGAAATCTTATTTAACTACAAGACAATTGGCTAACTTTGCCTCACGTAATATCTTTAAAGATACAAGTGTTAAAAACAATTTTTTTTTTTTATCTTTATGGGATCTTTGATGAGCCGTTTCACAAGAAAAATTAAATTTCTATCACCACATCCCTTATACTTAGAACTTGTATTAACTTCAAATTATCAAATGACAACCCCGTATATTTTTTATATATTTTCGTTCGTTATAAAAAAAAAGTGCTTAGCAAAAAAAATTAAAAATTATGAATTTTAAACAAGGCTACTTTAAAATATACGATATTTGAAGAAAAAATGCAATAGTTTTTCTAAACGGTATATTATTTTATGTAGTGATATCAATTACCGATTTACTTTGACAAAGCAGGTAGTCTATTACTTAGNTTACTTTGACAAAGCAGGTAGTCTATAACTTAAAACTGGTAGCGCTTATCGATTTACGACCTATAACGTTAAAGTCTGTTATGATTTTTACTTAATAAACTCCTAACTTTAGAGTCGTGGAGCGCTTAATATTAAATAAAATAAAATATATTTTATTTATTACACTAAATCTAATGGTGCAATAAAAATAGGGTTGCCATTTAAAATATGAAGTTGATACAAGTTTTTAGCACAAGGAATGATGATAGAAACTTACATTTTCTTGTGATACATCTCATCAAAGATCCATAATGATTAAAAAAAAAAACATTGTTTATATATAGGCCAATCACCCTATATATCTGTTTTGCTGATGGAGGAATTTAATACAAAATTTACTAAAAATGAAAATCAAAAACACTCAATTATTTAGNTAAAAATTAAAATCAAAAACACTTAATTATTTATAATTTAATTATTATTATACTCTCAAATATTGTTCATAAATTAACAATGTATTTATTGTAAAGGTCGTTCGAGAGTACAGAAATAATTATCATATTTTACCGCAATAAATTTAAGTTTTAACATCAGATTTTAACAAAATGCATTAAAATATACATANTATTTTACCGCAATCAATTTAAGTTTTAACATCAGATTTTAACAAAATACATCATATTTTTACAATTTTTACAATGAAAGTGTAGTACTACAAAAATTTACGTAATTAACTTTTTTTTTATACATAAACATTATTGTTTAATAAAATCAATACTTCAGAACTCAATTTTTTTTTCTTTTATATTTTTATATTTAAACTAATAAAAATAATAAGAGGATCATATGAAATGAAAAGGATATGTATGAAGTCTGTGTTGGTATCTTATCTCAAAGTTTTACGGGTATTGTAGCGTCTAAATGTGATATCTATATTTCACACTTCATCAAATAAACTACCAATTGGAAAATGAGCAAGTTCAACTTTTTAACTATCCTATGGAAACTTGGAAGACATAGTATCCGTG